ATTATTGTTATCGTAATTATCGATCCAGAATGACGGGTGACGATCCGACGCAATCGGTAGTATAAATCTAAAAATACATCCTAAGATAACGGTTACGGGTTCAGCCACGGTTATAGGTAATTTGATATATACCTGTAAGCAATGGTATAAACTCTTGCTTACGAAAAAACAATTCTGAGTGGAGTTCAGTTGATAGTGATGCTTTGTCAAAAATATATATATATGCCATATTATAGTAAAACAATTAAATGGGCTCTATATATTTTCTTTAATAATATTTATTAAACGTTGTGCCAATTTTCCCAGTTTTCCAAATTTACTGAGAAAACACCGTGGAAATGGAAAAATGATCTCTCTAAAGTAACTTCCCAGTGAAATTTCCTTTCAGAAACGTTGCTATCATTAAAATTTGGAGCGAAATTGCTGGTGGAATAGTTGTACACAGAAAAAAAAAAATAAAATAATAAATATCTTTAAAAAACCATAAGCTTCTTCGCTCCACTCAGAATCTAAAATAATTTTTAACGAAATAATCGATCGACGATTGCCACAAATCTTGTGTCAAACATGATAAATGATAATGAAATAAAAAAAAAAAACATATTTTACTATTGTAATAATTATAATAATATTATATAATATAAACAATTTTTTTGGGAGGAGGCTTTAGCTCCAAACTCTCCCTCCAGAGTGAGCCACTGAAATGTATGGATAAGTAGGTATTTAAGTAAGTAATTACTGGAAACGAATAATCAACCTGCATACGTATAGTTCTGTCGATAGAAATTTAATATACAGTAGAGAGTAATTCACAATAAGTAATTGCATCGAGTAATATTAGAAAAAGGGGGAGAAAAAGTAAACGTATTATTTATTTTATATAATTTATTGCATTTTAAATTTAAATACCTATTATAATATAATTGTATTAATATTCTATGATGGAAAAATAAATTCCAATTTAAATAAATATAAATACTACAGTTAATAATTGACTAGATATTGAAAAATAATAATACATATTATATATATCTGTAAAATACCATAAAAGTAGTTCAATTTTGTATTTAAATAAATATTATTCAAATACCTTCCTCTTGTTTTATAACAATACAGTTATTTTTTGACAGTTGAAGTTTGCATATCAATAATATTAAAAAAATATCATGAATTTTAAAAACAAAACCAATTAAATAATTATTTTTATTTGCAAATACCTCCAAAAGTTATTGCAAACAAACAAAAACGAAAAACTTGAGTGCTAACCCAACATTATTTTTCCGAGAACTAATAACCTATAAAAAAATTTAATATTATTGACAAAACGCATACGATACAATGGCGCAACTAGGCGCTTGAGACCCTGATGGTAAGGTAAGTCTGGGTTCTATTCTTAGACCTTTTTTTATACTGACTATAATTATAATTAAACGCACTACTTAGTTTTTATTTATTATCAGCGGATTAATAATGTATACATGTTACGCGGTTATGTTAATAATGAACAATACGAAATATAAAGAAAAAAATGTATGATAAATGATCGCAGATTTGGTTTAAATCTATTTCGTTAAAAATACCCTCCCTGTTTACAACTATGATAGGGCTCCATTTGAGCATTGGGGCTCCGATGTTAGGCATCGCTATCCACCCGGGTGATTTTGCTGCTGGTTCAGGGGTCTGGGTCATTCGCCAGTTTCTCAAAACGATAGTAAGAAATTATTATGAAAAACAGCCTGTACATTGGCCGGTAGGTTTAATTCATTGTTAAAAAATTGGCCACCTCAAGTATAATTAAGTAAGTCAATACCAAAAAGTATTTAGTATAGGTAGTGAGTGTATGAAGTACTTATAATTGTCCTATAATCTCGTATTACAAGTTATGTTACTGTGGTAGCATCGCTATCCACCCCGGTTATTGTGCCATTGATATGATATTAAGCTATTATGATATTATGATATTAGACGGTATCAAACATAATTGGATTTAAATTCCACTTTAAGTAGCACTGATGTTGTTTATAGTAAAAGGGCTTCTTCATACTTGTTTACATAATTATATCATATGTTTAATCGTTTAAATTGTTTATTTATGCATCGTTATCTGAAAGAGTGCTCTAGTTACACATACACTACCGTACTCGTCACGACGTTATAGATATACGGTCCAGATATCACACATTTGTTCGTTTTATTTGTATACGGCAAACTACCATTAGAGTAAACTCTTTAATTTAAATACCGACGATAGCTTTCTATCGTCGGTAACGATATTAACTTATGAAAAATAATTTGTTATAATAGAATTTTTCGCTGTGGTAGTATACATATTTTTTATTTAATTAGATTATAAAAATAATTGTTGCCAAACATTTAATAGGTAATCGGAGATGTAACTAATCTACCTAATCCATATTATGATGATGGAGTGCATTTGACAGTTGCAGACCCGTGTAAATTGATGAATTGACCGACTGGCCGTGTTGTCACATATTATATACGAGACGAATTCTATACACAGACCGTATAATAATACAATAAACTCGACTTTATTTCGCCAGTATGTATTTTCGCATCACGGATGTCCACACAATGGGAATAGTATTGAAATCGACAAACACCTCAGACATAACCCACATATATAATCGTTCAAAATGACTGCTAGTGGAAACGTGTACAAATTAACGTAAAAAAGTAATAAAGTTTAGCATTGTTTGGAGAATTCGATTTGATCGACGTTTCCGTGGTAAAAATAGTATAATATTATGTACCCAATACCTATATTTAAAATGTTCACCTTTAAACACTGATATTATAAATAATCCCGGATGATGTTTACTTATCTGTATATTTTATTTGTATTTGGCGATTTTACGTGCCATAAATAATAATATTATGTCATTTTAATATTTTGTATAGTTTTTGCCACTATCTAACTGCCAATTTATTATACCAATAACTGTTAAATCGAAAACCAACTACCTATACGATGGTTTTCTATCAAAATTTCAAGTTACTACGAATGTTTTTAACTGAATAGTAACAAAAAATCAAAATTGAAAATAATAAAACTATTATTTTCGTAAATTTTCTTGTTTTTTCTATGATTTTTTTTAGTTTTGTCCAGTTATCAAAAAACTACAAGGAAAACGATAAACAAAATACTTTCTCGGTCTCTTTTCGTTTTTTTATTGGAATAAGATTTCTGATAGATAACATCGTGCGTAAAAAATTAAAACAAAATCGTACGAGGTAAATTTGTTCATCATTTTCAGGGTTTCCCAATTATTATGATAAATACTTAGAAAATTAAAAATCAACTTTATTCGTGAGTATTTAGATCTAAAATTCAACAAATAAGGTAACGTGGTAATTTTTGATTAAAGGAATATTTCTGGTATAAAATATAGTTTGCGAAAATTAATTTTTGATTGATTTTGATTATCATGGTTTGAAATTTAAGTATATTTATACTCAATAAAATATGAAATCATAAATATGTATATTTGATGTATTCATTATGAAATTGTTTATGTTGTATATATTATAACAAATATATTTATTGACTGCAATATAATTTAAATTAACCTATTTTTTATTCAACGCACAAAACGAATAGGTATTATTTTAGTTGATGCGAATTGATTATTAGTGAAAAAACAATTAATTTTAGATTATTATTATTTTTATTTATTTTAGATTATATATTTCAAGTATTCAAATATTAAAAAAAAGTTTGCAATATAGGGTAAAAGAAATTGCCTAAATATTTATTGAAGATTTTTTCGTTTTTATTAATAAAAGATGAGTTACTGTTTTATATCGGTTATATTTTATCATTTATAACGGTAGTAACTTGAGTCACCACCTTTTCTGAAAGGAAGTAACATGCGGAAAATCCAGGAAAATCTAATGATATTGATATCAAATCATGTTCTACACAAATAAAATTATGTTCAAGTTTTGATTAAATCGAAGAAATATAAGAATAAGAATCGTAATTCAAAGTTAATTTGGCTTCTTCTGAAAAGTTATTAAAATTTAATAAACAATGAAACATAATCATATATTAATTGCAAAATAATAATAATAATATCAAATATTATAGGGCGCCATAATAGGAACAAATTTTATAAAAGAAATATCAACTGGAAAAATCAGTTAAATAAATATTGGATTAATTGTAAATGTTGTACTATAATCGAAAGGTAAACGTTATGACCAGTTATGACACATCCACGAGTTGAATATTATGGAGGTATTTATATTCTACTCCTGCTAGCGTCACGATAAACACGATTAAATTATATCTACCATGACAAAATACGTCAGTCAGAAAAGAGCTTATTAAAAAAATCTATTTCACATGACACGACAGGTTGAGAACCCCCCTCAAACGCATCCGTTAATTTTGCATTTACGTCAATGTAATAATTACCTATATCGATTATTTTTACTTTAATTTTAATTCAAATGCCAGAAGAAAAAAAAATCAACAGAAACCAACAAACTTTATAAATGCCAGTTATAAAATCACTATATATCATAATGGTTTATATTTAAATATTTGTTCATATAAAAAATGCAAAAAAACGAATTATAATATAAGTGTTCATCGAAAGTATATTTTATATTTTTATGGAATACGTACGTATTTTCATATATTTTTAAATCTTTTTACGACTTTTCATGTTTATTTTAAAAAGTTTAATGAAACTTTCGGACAAAAATTTAATATTTAAAAGCTGCATGTAATTTTGTATGTAACTTTTAATGAGAGAAAACAAATCTATAAGTATATATCATAAAGAGGCGTTTGACTTAAATCAATTCGTAAAATATGGCATTAGTTATGAATAATATTCCAGTAATATTTTCTTCTTCTTAGCTTAATGACTCTCCAAGAGTCGCTACTGTCACATAATTCCAACTATCCCTATCGTGAACAGCTGTTTTCAATATTTAGCAATATTTTACGTCCGTCCTTTTTAAGTCTTGCTTTACCCCGTCAAGCTATTGCTTCCTCGATCTACCGTTGAGCTTTTTCCATTTAGATTTCCGCACTTGTATTCTCCGATACACTCCTCTGCTTTAAGTTGCAATCGCTTTAATAATATCCCGGAGAACACCTTGTACACTATATTTAGTAAAGCAAAACCTCTGTAGTTATTACACTTTAACTTGTCTCCTTTCTTATGTAGTGGAATAATAGGTTTGTTCCAATTCTCCTGAAGCATTTCTTTCCTCCATATGGTCAAGCAAAGTTCATGATTATTTTTGCATATTGTCTACACTGCATATTTCAGTAGTTCGGCAGGGACTATTCTAGAAAAAGGTATGTTATAAATAGTTTAAAAAAAAGATATTATGCGCAGAGTTTACGAACTTTATTTAATATTTAACTTGAAGCGATAGGACAAAACAACAAAAAAACAATAACGATTGTCTAGTAAAGTATAATTAATTTTACGGTTTTAAATTTTTTTTTTTTTAGTTTTAATTCTGTCTTAGCTTTTAAACCGACAGAATTATCACTAGTTATAGTTTATTTTCCATTGGCCATAATTAAACAAAATAATACTTAAAAACTAATTAATTTTATCGTATGCAATCGTATTTTCTCAAACTTTTACTAACAAATATTTCTAAAAAAAATCATTAAATAATAATTGTAAAGTTACTATAGTTTGCATAGATGTGAAAAAAAAATAGACAAAAGTCAGAATAAAATCCATTGTATTTTACAGTTATTCACAGTGACGGTGATTTATTTTTATGTTGTGTAAATAATGAATATTTTATCAAAGTGATGCAGTTTAAAGAAATATACATACAATGTCCGACCTTTTGAATGTAAATACAGAAAAATTGGTGCACGGAAAAATAAAGATTAAATAATATTGTGTTTTGCTGCAACATTGTTTCTCTTTTTTGAGTCTAAAAATTAAAAAAAAAAAGAAAACCTAAAAAGAAAAACAAGATTTGTAAAGGAACAATAATTTAATCATTCAATCGCTGATACTATATATGTTTTAAGTTATCTATATTACTGTGCAATATATATTTAGATTAATCTTGTAAAACATAACACCTGTGAGCAATATAGCTTCATCATTAAAGTTGAAGTTTTTCTCTACTTATATTTTATACATCACTAGCTGTCCAGCATAGTATTGAACGATAAAACGTTAAAAAATCTCAGCCACTTTACTGTAGTTGACACCCGTGATTTTCGTCTAGGCGTGTTTCATTTCAAAAATGAGAATTTCTGCATAATATAAATTCTAAAATTAATTGAATATATTTGTGTATATACAGATGTCCCGTCTGGCATTATTGACCGGGTACCCTCTTTGCCCCGATTTCCGTTGGGAATTATGTGCCGCACGGATTTGCCTGTGTAAATATGTATTTAATGGAAGCATTTATTTTTGTATTTTTTTTTAAAAACGTATTTCCCCGTGACTCCCGTTTATACTCCTATGATATTTCCGTTGTTTCCCGTTAAAATTACAAATATAGCTGTATCGTCATGGCTACTCTCGTCCTTTTAGATTCGTAACGTAACGAAAAATCTATTGGTTTTATTATCTATTTTTTTTTTTTTTTGTTTGTGAACAACTTTTCTACCAGAATACTTGTTCGGAAGTAAAATATTACACTATATAGTATTAACACATATATAATATATTTATATAACAGACATAAAAAGTATATATATATATATAGTATTTAGGTTAGTTTAAATATAAGCTAATGCGTGTGGGGAATACGGATATAATCTATTATTTTAATAGATGTGCCTCGTACGGTAATTTAAATAAACTGCAAAGATTAAGTTAAAATAACGCCCCTTTTTTAAAAAATGTAAAAAATTGTATACGAAAACATATTCAAAAAGTATAAATGTATACACATACAATATTAGTTTTCTTTTTAAAAAAAAAAAAACGAAAACGAAGACCATTCGGCCACTATCTTGTCCATGAGGAACGCAAAAGGGACCGAATCCGATTTTTTTTAAATGTTTTCGATATTGCGAAGTTAGTGTTTTGTGCAATTTTATCGTGCGTATTTTCATCAATTTTCATATTTTGACAGAGATATAGTTATAAATATAATGGAGTCCAAAAAGTGTAGGGTTTGGACCCTACAAGTATTGGGATAAAGTTTCATAGTACGGATTTACGAGTAACGAGTGGATCCAAGTCTAAAATATTTGAATTGAATCATAAAAAGAATAAATCATGTAACGCCGACAGTTATAGTGAAACTAAAATAGGGTGAACATTTTTTTTTATTTCTTGAAAAGTTACGAAAAACGACTTGTGATCTAGTCCCTCTTTGTCGGGTTTTTTCTTTTTCTTAAAATAATCAAGAACAAGTTAAAAACACTATCTCGTGTCCGATGTGAAATCAGTTCCTTTTTGTAAAAAAAAAAAATATATATATATACATATGCACTCATCGGCATACATACGCAAACGGTGGCCGGAAAGAAAGGAAAAATCGTCGCGTACGTCGTTGACGTGATCTAATCGACCAAGTTTGCATTTAGACATACTAATTTTTTTTTTTTCATATTTGGTATTTATCCACATTAACGGTACGCAAATTTTAGTATATTATTCATTCATGTTCGATCATTTGCACCATCATATCATTATAAATCATTTTAAATCAAAAATGACAATTCGCATTATGATGTCCCCGTAAAAACAACTGTCGAAAAAAATCTATTTTTGCCCTTATTATTTTTAATATTGTGTCACAACCTGGATAACAATTATTAACTGCGGAAAGTAATGATACGAGGCGACGTACCATTATAAATGTATAATAATGATATGACAAAAAACAATGCGATGTGACGTAGCCGACGATGGTCTCTTGAGATAAATATTAACCTCTTTTGAAGCTCTTTGATATGGTCGAAAAGAAAAGAAAAAAAATAACAATAACTACGCGCCACGCCATCACAAACCACCGCGGTGTGATCCGATTGGCACGGTTTCCCTTTTAGTTTTTATAATATCAAGGTGATGGTTTCACGTTTTTATCCCCTTGGAAATTTTGTTGTTTGGACCCCTGGTAGAAATTTTCGGTCCGAAAAATAGCATTGTTCATTGGGATACAATGCAGAGTGTTCCTTTATCACACAACGATTTTCTCTGGGGATTTTTTGTTTTTTCAACCTTATGAAATTAAGATTTATTTTAACAATATTTTCACATTTTACTCCAACTTTTTGTATATCTTAGCTAAGTATAAACTTTGATTTTTTTTTAAAAGCTACCCCCTGCCTTATAAAAAAAATTTGAATATAGATTATTTTTCTAAAGATTTTGATATTATCCATAACAAAAATAGCATAGGATTTACCTTTTTATGATTTATAACGGTTTAAAATGTAGAAAATAGGAGTAAGGAAGTCTAATAGTTTATGCTGATCAGCATCATTTTTTTTTTTTCAGAATTTATGAACATTGAACATTTAAAAAAAAAAAAAGAAAGAGAATTCTAATTCAATTAAAATTCTCCAGGAAACTCACTGGTTTATGATGAAAAAAAATCGCCTCGGATCGTTAATCGAATGTGAAAATAAAGAATGTAATTCAAATAAGGCATTTCGTATAGGTAGGTACTGAAAACCACGACATTTCAACAAAAATTAAAAATAAATTGAATTAACTGATACCGACTATCTAGCTGTGTCTTGTCGCGCGATCAGATAAATCGTGTGTTTAATGTGCAACATTTATCATAATTGAATAAATTAAAAATATTTTTTTAAAAGTATATTTATTGTAAATAATAGACATATGATATATAAATAAATATAATTGTGAATAATAAAAAAAATTACAGACATACTTCGCACGTAGACACAGCCACTTTTGTGAGTGGAGAGTTGGGAAGGTAGGATACAGACGAGAATTTAGTGTATATCTGTAAGCAACGATAAAACATTGCTGAAGAAAGAACGATTCTCAACGAATGAAACATCATTGACAATGGTGCTTTGCCAACAATATATATGTCATATATTATGGTAAAATTATGACACCAATGTGCGTTTCCATAACAACAATGTTTGTTTAAAAAAGATTAAAATTATATTATAATAAAAAACTTAATAATAACAAAAAATGGATGGCAATGACAACCTTAATTTTAGTATTTTTTAACCTAAATAACCAGGTTTTTCACCTATCTCAAATATTAATAAGAATTTCAAAAAAATGTCCTCTTAATCTACCACCCAAAGAACATTTCCTTTCAGATAAGGTGCTATACTTAGTAACCAGAGTATGCTTTTTGGTGAAAAAAGTGATCACATTAAAAAAATAAAATAAAAATAAATAACATTGTAAAACCAATACATTTCTTGCTCTACTCAGAATCTAAAACAAATAAAGTTAGAAAAAATACTATTAACTTAATTAAAAAAAAAACTGTAATATATTAGTAGGTATACTTATTAAATAAGTACCTATTGATAATTATACTTACTTTATTTGTTTACGTATGACGTCAAATAAATAAGCTTTTATGTCGTCGTGAAAACCTACTCGTACTATTATAATATCACTCACTATAAACTTCATAAAATCCGAATCCTCCGACACTGTAGATAATAAAATACACCGATAGCAGTGTCGTACGTCTCGACCGGTGTAACAATAAGACAACTTATAAACCAATAACGAATTTATAGCGCATAATATTATATTCATATACTTAAAATGTATTTATTTCATAATAAAAACAGTAGTGGCGGGTAGAATTATAGGGTATTTCTGCCTATATTAAAAATATTTACTCATTAAAATTCCAATGTATAGACTATGCACGCAAATAAATTTAAATATCCAACAAATTCACCAACCAAAAACCAACATACATTTCTATTTGATTTATTAGGAAAATGTTATTTTACGTTTAACATAATAATTTAGTTTTATGATTGTTTACAAATCATTAAAAACTAATCAATTAAGAATTAATATTTGTTTTATACATAATTCATCAATTTCTCTCCGGCATAATTATTGACATATTGTAGCGTCGTTATCTGTACAAAATCGATAATTTTCGATGTTTTTTAAAAAACTGGATTCAAACAAATTTATGCCTAGATACGAAAAACCTATTCACTATTCAATGTTATTATAGTTGGACATACTCTGCATAATTATATTAATATACAATTAACTACATAATTTCAATTATTCGTTTCAATATTGGGCTTAACGATAGTCAATTTTGTCCCCTATTCTCCTGTAATGTAAACTGAATTACTCAATATCCTATATACATTCCGAACTGTTCACTTTCAAAAGTTCCTTAGTAGTAAGATTTTTTTTTTTTTAACTACATATATGTTAATGATAAAATGATAATTATTTTACTTATATATAGGTAGGTATAATGTATCTAATTGTTTTTACACATTCTATACAAAAGGGCCATAGAACTTTGGAAAAAGAAAATACCGTCATAGTTACGACCGAAGAACTTTACACGTATCATATATACCTGCAATAGATTTTAATTTATTATCACTGCGTTTTAGATTTATCCTGAAACTGAAAAGTAATTAAAAATATTTTTATTTTCTGTCCGGAGAGAAATTAAAACACCGTTGTTCGGACTTTAAAACTGCGAAAACTGCAAGTAGTTACACGTATAGCCTATAGAGTTTTGAAACTTTAATAGCGTACTTGGGTGTCAGATGAAGAGTGGAGTGGTAACTCTTAAAGCTATATGTGTGAAGTCTTTTAGTACGAAATTTCGGTATTGTTGCGATATCCTGTTGCAGTACACAAAAATAAGACACAGACCGTTTCACGGGCCAATTACGTTGAAGGTTTTTAATTTTTTTGAATATAGTCACAAATTCTTCATTTTCTTTGGTAAAGATCAGCCTAAAAAACGTTTTAGTGACGAGTTTACTCAATGAGCTCTTATTATTATTATCAATTATTGATATATTATTATCAATATTATCGTTTTATTATTAGGTTTTATTTTATCGTTATTCGATATAAACGCGGTACAAACATAAAAATATGTAATGATACTGCTATAGGCAACTATTGTATGTGGGAACTTAGGAAGGTAGAATATGCACTATAGGATTATACATACGTAATATGTGGTTTATATACTATGTATATTGTATACAACGATGAATTATTCAAATAAGCAGAATGCGGCAGTTTGGTATACTTTTTTATAAATACGCGGTGATTCATTTAAGTGGTAACACTCATTATCCTAAAAATTATTAACTTTTTTTCGAAATTTGTTTTACAGAACATTTAAGAAACAAGCAACTCTACGGTTTTATAATAATGTTATTTTTGGTCACCCTCGTTTTTGGAGATAAAACCTATTTTTGATTTTGAAATGACAACCTTTATAAAAACAAAATTCCATAAATACACGGTGTATTATTTAAAATAAATGTTGGTATTGATATTTTTGATTTTGGACAGCTCATTGACGAAAATCATTCTAATTCTAAGTTTACTTTTAAATTTCGATAGAAGAGAGATTTAGGGAGAGTAGTGGCACGCGCCTTGCCGCCTCACAATCGATGCGCTATTACTCTAAACTACGCATTATGGTTCTTGTGATACATAATCCTAACCGGTACCCACATGCTAATACTAATTTTTAATGAAAAATTCAAACCGGTTCAGTCTATTTTTTGTAATTCGATTTAAGACGTGTTGCACATTGATGATTAATCTGTAAAACCACGAATAAACCAGTGTCAAAAACCGGTTTTATGTATCGCATTTCTTGTGCAAAATTTTTTCGGAGTGATATCATGTTTGGACGTTTCAGATTTTTTAATTTTCTTGACGTTTGATGTTACAATTCTTTTATCATTTTTCTGACAACCAGCCAATATAGTAATGCATCATTGATCTTGATATTTTTCGTTACAAAATATATTACTATACACTATAATATACTATACCTCTTCTCTAATATGAGTTTTGTAAATTTAAAAATTTTCCTAACGACATCAAAGCTCCAAGTATAATAATAATAATAATTTACTATCGACAATTTGACAGTCTTAACTTTGATGGATTGTTCACGTTGACGGTTCGTTCGCCGTTATTGTTATATATTAGTTTCTTAATTCTTTTCGAGCTCATATAATAATATGCTAATACACCTTTCTTGGCATCCTATCGCCGATAGACATTTTTTTTTCTTTTATCGTATGTTTACTCTGAATAATATTATAATATTATTAAAATACCCACGAGGGTGGGTAAGTGGGTACTCTGCTGATAAAATTGTTAACTTGTTAGGTTAAACAGAAATGCTTGAAAACATAACAGGTTGTTCATTAAAAATCGTACATAGTGTTCATAAAAAAAATTGAGTGTAATGTAGTATTTTTTATAAGAGTTTAAATACCTAATTTTGAAGAAAATGGTAAATACGACTGCTTTTCAAAACATGTATAATCGAATTTCTCTTCGAATCGTTTTTCAATAGCAATGATTTATCTTTGATCACAGGTATAAATTAAATATCTGTGTATCCTACCTTCCCGACTTCCAAACTACAACGGTAAGCGCGCCCGTTACCAGTATCAATATAAGCTCTTTTTTTTCAACTGTTCTTATTTTCAAAATAACATATTTTTTTTTTTTTATTATTAAATTGTTCTGTATACACTGATCCTCATAGCTTAACTTAGGGTGTTCAAAGTGTAAAAACAACAACACAGTAACATTTATACTGAAATTCGCTCAAACATGTATTCTTACGATTAGCCAATAAGATAACTCTAATTTTCGATTTCGAACTCATATATAATTTCATATTAATATGTTATAGTCGTTTTTATAATCAAATCATTCTTTAGGTGCCGATTGTCTGAAAACCTGATTATCAATCAAGTTTTAGACACATATTTTTGGAAATGCCACCGAGATCCCTCCTCGTGTCCTATTGAGTCTTTGGGCCCGAGGAAAATTCACAATATTACCTAATTCTTTAATTAGTGTTAGTATCTCGGTTAACAGAAAAAGTTAACTACATATTATATATATAGGTAATGCATTTTAATTAGGTTGCTTTTTTGATTATTAACTCGTGTTGAACAAAACTTGTTAACACGAGCACGTCTAACCGAATTAAGTAGGCGGTTACGATAACGATAAAACTGTTAAATGTGTGAGTATAAATATATATTTACGGATAACATTATACTAATATAATGATAAAGTAAGAAAGTAAGGAAGTTTTAAGTTTACGAACAATAATATATTAAACGTATACAATATACGAGTATATATATTATAATATATACGTTATGAGGTTACTTTAGCGTGAGTCTCGAGAACATAATAATTTCAATCCTCTTAAAGCCGAATACGGTGGTAATAAGAAAATGTGTCTTAAACGTCGGGGTCATATATATATATATATACACATATATCCTTATTATACTTGTATTATAGGAGTGAAAACAAACGACGACGGAAGTGTTTATGAATAAATTAAAACCGACAAACTCGACGCATACACGGAGCTTTTCTGGGAACCACGTAGTAATTGCCGCTAGTATACGCTGCGGTATAAAATTTAACGTTATTAATATTATTATAAGGTAATCATATTTTATTTCACGAAATTTAAATAGTTTTAATGTAAACTCGGTTATAAAAATAAATCGAAAAAGTATTTAAAAAAATAAACCGCTGATATTATACTTCACAACACGGATAGACCACTAATATCCATTGTAGGAGGGGAGTTTGAAAGGTATATAATATTATAAAAACAGACATTTCGTAAGCCATTTGTATAGTTTGTGTATATGGAAAGCGACGATAAAACGTTACAATCAAAAGACGATTCTGAACGGATATCGGTTAAGTGGTAAGTTTATACGTTGCGTTTTTTTCTCATTTTCCTCAAGATATGTACACATAACTCAGAAAACAACAGACGAAAACCCACAATGCATAGTCGTTTGATGTCAGTCTGTTTAATTGTTTAGAAAAACTCTTAGAAATATTTACAGAGTAATATTAAAGATAAAGAGATGTAAACTGTTATACATACATGCAATTCAAATTGTTGTTATATTGATATTTCATTTCACTTTTTCAAATTAAAATATACCTACTTGTATTTGTCATAAAACAAATCTCTTTTTATAGGGATCGGTACACTTTTCCGACATTTAATTACTCGACATCATTAGCCCGATGGTACATTTATCGGATAATACTTTTGCCCGACAATACTTTTTCCCGACACTATTTCTCTGAAAAAAATATAAAAAGTATTGATGGTTTATATTATTTCGGTATACAGTGAGAAACCCGCAATATACCAATCGGATCGCTAAAATATAAATAACTGCCTTAAATACGCAGTTAACCTATGAGTTTTACCGAGCGAAAAATCCACGTCTTTTAAGGTACTATTATATGAATAATTTGGAGAATTTTCCGAGAGAAAAAATTATCTCAGTAAAATTAATAATTTCTTCTTTTAAAAAAAAATTTTGATAAATTAGTAACTTTTTAGATCCTGAATACAGCGATGAATTAATTTGGTTTTACTATATTATGTGTCTATTAAAAACTCTTCTACTAGAAATCTCACTCCACTCATCAATTTCAGGCTTTGTTTCTGGTAATACATTTTATCTGATTGGTGCATTGGAAAGGTCAGTTGTTTGTTTTTGAAATTTGTTTGTTTTTTCTTATTAGTTTGGAAAAACGAAAATATTTACAAAATAACTATTTTAATTTCAGTTTATCAAATATGCCAATTTTCACTCAGAGACTCTTTTTGTTGTGATTGATCACACATAAATTAAATTACCATATACTTTCCCAACTCCCCACCTACAACACACTTATGGTATAAAGGATATCGATTTTTTTGTGTAACAGTTATATATATTTTAATACTTATAATTTTTAAGGTAACTACATCATATATACAAAATACACATTTCATAAATTTCATAATCAATAAATTATAATTAAAAAAAAAAAAAAAACCGATAAAGTTAATTGTTTTTTGCCGATACGTGCACGTATAACATATTACATTTTACAAAAATGAATAGGTAAAAATCACGTATATTTTATTAGTTGTATGAATAATAAATTATGTACGAGAGATTAACGTATAAATAATAATAATAATACGGACATTGTATATTTTATAATATACAAAAGTATTTTTTTTTTTTTTAACTTTATGAATATATAATCTTTTTTTAAGTAGTTAGGTACTTCAATTTTAATATTTTTGGTCCATTTTAAATATTTACATATTTTTTTTTATTTTTTTATGTAGTATTTTGTAGTTTTTTATAGCTGTGTAGTAAAATATATTATTAATGATAATCATCGTTCAATTAGCCATAAAAAGGATAAAAGAATGGATACATTTTGAATTATTTAAAAAATAATATTATTGACACATATTCTATATGATAAGAGGACTAAATCATATTGAATTAATATTGCGATATATTCAACATAAAACTATAAAAAAAATAAATATTAGAGGTTCTTAAAATTAAAATACCAGTTAGCAATATAAACCATCACTTAAGTCGACTTTTTCACCACTTATTTTGTTTTATTGACAGATACGCAAATAGAGAGAAGGGTTAGTGATCGATCCCTTTAAAATATATTTAAAAAAATGCTATTTCAAGCGCAACATATATCTACTTTAAAGTATTTAATTTTTTCATCTCCAAAATTGTTTTTATGTACGTGCCTGATTAAAAAAATAATCCTTATAAAACAAAGAATAATTATATTATTTATGTTATTTATTTAGCAAAATATTGTCAGGGGACGTTGTTGAAACTGAAAACCTCTAATACAAGTATACAAAATTGTATCGTCTTCCCAACTTAACATGAGGGGAGAGTTTATGATTGACATTCAAAATGAAAAAAACCCCTATATACTACAAGAAAACAGTGAAGTCCGTATTGAAATTCAATTGAACTTTAATTACTCTAATTTGCCAACGAAACAACACTAATTTCCGAGTTTATGCTTATTCGGTACAGAGAAACCACTCGAAGTGCACGAAAGTAGCAAGGAAATAGTAAATAGATACATATTACTATAAATAGTAATTTATAATATTATGTAACAGCTGTATACCAGGCTTTAAAATTTTCCACGTATTTCCACGTGAAACGAATTAATTATTATAAAGTAAATAACTGAACTAATAGATACCAGAAAAACAAAAAAAGTGAAATTTTCGTATTTGCAGGACGAATTTCCTGTGTGAAATTCAATTTAGGGGATGAGTTTACCTTACAAACCACATGGTTAGGATACTGAAATCGATGTGTCGAACGAATATCGAGGTCGGGAACCTGCAGCTACTCAGCGTACAATCTCTAGCTCTTTGGAAAATATATCAATATCTAGATAATCTAGATCTAGAGCTTGACCCATAAAATATAAATTAGAATTAGATTTATATAAACAATAATAATAATAATAATAATTTAATAATGCGTAATAATAATATGTTAATGAAATTAAGTTTTTCTAAATTTGAAACTTATTATTATATTTTTAATACCTTCCAATTCCCAAAGAAATTACTTAATAAAATATATTAGTCCTTTTTTTTTTAGGTAATATGGTATGTTTTTTTTATCCCAAGCATCGCGGCTGTTTAAAAATCATGGTTTTGCAATTTTTTTAATAAACAGCTCATGTACACGAAAAGGTTCTCGACCCCTGATCTAGATGCCTATTTGGAATTATGGTGCCTATCTCTGTTTCAAAAATCTTAAAATTCATAAAAACAAATCGATATAAGATTGATAACAGACAAAATAGACCATCGGTTTTCAAAGTCCCAAAGTCTAAAAGTAAATTTGAAATCCAAATTACGGCGGAAACGAGAACGCTGAATATTACGCTAGAACGGTTACATAAGCTTCTAGGTCCTTTATTTTGGTTTTTATTTTTTTGAAAAATACTTTTTGGTTAATTATAAACTTTAATTAATTCGAATTTTACTTTAAAAAATGATGATTTTTTTGTCTAGTGGTACTTGATTTATAACAAATTTCTCGATTCATAGAAGTTTTTCTATATAGTTAAAAGAACGGTCGACATATCGGTTTTGTTTTAGTTGATTTCTGGGCTACCTTGGCTATATAATAGGAAAAACATGACTATTACTATTCATCTTGTTTCGCTCAAAATCGTTATTTTTTTTTTTTTTTTTATTGAAATATTTTGTAAAAACATCCTGAGAATACTTTTGTACAAAAAGAGTACTGTGAGTCGAAATAGTTCAATAAACTAAACAAACTCAACAAAATTATAGTCATTCCTGGCTTTTTATACCAGTCAAAAATCGTTACACTGTTATTCGCTTAAAAAAAAAAAAAAAAAAAAAAAAAACCAAAAATTGTCATTCTAAATAAGACTCAAATGAATAATATTCTATGTGCATTTTTATCCATTGTCAAAGTAATTAATTGTATGTGTGGGGCTGGCCAGTTGCCAGTAATTCAAGAGGTTTCCTCGCTGTCTCCCTCATATATATTTCAAAAAAAAAATAAAAATGTATATACGTATGTGTAACAATATACAAAAGCAGTTACCTGCGAGTGATTAATGAATACCTAGTGCGATTTTTTGGATTTCGAATTTCGAGAGTAAAATAAACTTACGGGACCATTACCTAAAAAAAAAAAAAAAAAATAATGGTCACAATATATGATTCGTTTCATATATTCGATTTAAAATGTTATCGCTTCATTATTTTTTTTTTATAAAGAGATTAAAGATTTTATGTATGCCAATAGCATTTGCTTTTGGGGATGGGATTTTCGGGTAATCCGGAAAATGTGTAGTTAAAAAAAATACTTATTTACAACAACCAATAATATACTGTTTATATCAACTATGTTTACTTATATGGTAAAAACAGAATCAGTATAAATTGTTTTAAAAAGGTTGCAATCATTTATTATTGCTATTATAATTTTTATTTTTTAGCTTTAGAGTGTAGGTAATTCTTTTTTTTCACAAAAACATTTTTTCTGGTGAGTAAAACACTTCGCGGATTTATCATGCATTAACTTAATAGATATTGCATTTGCTTAAAACATATTTTGAAATAGTCAACCGTTGAATGCCAATCGAATTATTATTCAAACAACTTTATTTTATAAATTTGTGAATTTTTCCCACAGTGGTATAAAATAAATACATATTATGATAAGTTTGTTTTATTTTTCTTGGTGTATGGGTTTCTTTGGCCTAATTAAAACTAAATGTGTGGCCTACAAGTTAGTAATTATGTTGGTGTAGTGTCAGTTTAAAATCAATAAAATTTAATAAATTCAAAATAAAAGTAAAAACGGGGATGAACATAACTAAGCCCTCTCCAGTTTGCCGTGCTCCACTCAAAATAGTTTTTTTTTATGCAATGACTGATCGTTGATTCAAAACTTAGTTACCCTGTATAACATATTTTATACCATTTGCATTTCCCTTCTACATTGTGTAGTGTGTCCAAATAATACTAAATATATCAGTACACCAAATAATTTTTTCAATTCGTGGTGTCTCATTTCACAATACAATATTTAAAAAAATTCAAACAAGGTATTAATAATCCTCACATTGCTTATTGGCCTTCAGACTGTGATATTGTTAATGTAATAGTCATTTTGATTTCGATGATTCGTTTAATTTCTCCGCGAATAATCGAATAGTTCACGATCGATATATTATGGGCAAATTCAATCGGAATATATCCTTTTGAAGTTAATAATATTTCATTGAGCTTTAAAATATTGCCATAATAATATTATAAAACATATAGCAACTAAAAAATGCAAAACCTTACGCTATAAGAACCGGCACATAAAATGTATTGTAATAATTTTGATATAGGTGCTTGTAATATAAAATAAAAGATGGAAAAAAAATATAACCTAAGCTGGTTATAATGTAGGACCCTTTTAAAGTTGAAAAAAAAATATAAAAAAAACCCGAGATATTGTACTTGTATGAATAATATAGGTATCGCCGGAAATTAAAAATTGGCTATAAAAACATCAATTATTATAGAGGATGTCAACTGCTTCTCTATGTTTTTTAAGCCATTGCAAAGATCAAGAAACTTGATTGGGGAGTGATCAGGTTAAACAGTTTTATAAAAAAAACTACACATTTAACATCGTAAATTCGAACTGTTTATTTTTAATCTTGGCAAAAGTATCAATAACATGTTTATACCCCTACCTATACTCTTGAACGTGCCTATGATGCTCGATTGTATAATATGTTTTTTTAGAGATATGGGCTTGTGGTTAGATCACGGCCACTAAGATCCTCTGGAGCCACTTCTGGAATAGGTACATAGCAGGGAGTTATTAAAGAAGTTGTTTGTCCAAATAAACACACAGTTCAGTCTATATGGCACTCAGTAAAGTAAGATTTTGATAACTGTGTGGAAAAAAGAAAATGACTCGTTGAGCATGTCATATTTTGAATTTAAAATTTAAATAGTTACGTGATGAGGTGATAGCCAACATAAACGATAGTTATTATAATATGATATTATTAGAGGGAACATACATACTTTTTAATTTATATTGCATAATAAAACAAACATGTTCGGTCTAAATTTGTTCCAACTTGATAATATTATAATGAATAGACAATATTTAATGAGTTATTAAAGACATTTATAATTTTGAAGTATGAAGCGCTTAAATAAAATACTCCAGAGACCTTTGGTTTACCAAATCGACATTTATCCAATGTCAATAAAATGTTTGAATACTGAGTATTAAATTAGTGTTACAAACTTTGTTTGCAAATTTTGTTGGCAAAATTGAAATATTGTGCATCTAGGCCGTTTATCAATATTCTAGCAACTAGCAATGTCCGTATTTTGTTTTGCACGATTATGACATATTAATTTAATGATAGTATGAATGAGATGCAATAAAAATCAATTGATATTTGAAAATCAAAAATATATAAAAAAAAAATTACAATTTTCGAAGAAATAAGAAATTATTAAAATATTGAAAAATCGTACTCTGTCAATTTCGTCTCACCTCGTTTTTTCATAATACATATCGACTTTGCGACAGCAAATATTTCGACATGTTTACAGTAATGATAAATATTGCAGGGCAATAAATAGTTAAACATTATATCATTATCTCAACAAATTTTCTCGGAATCATCTTTTTGGATGCACAAAATTTATATTATTCGAGTAACTTGTGTTATATACTTGATGTTAAAACCGCATCACTATCGAATTTTGATTTTTAAATAGCATTTTTACATCATTCGAAAAAAAATTGTATACCAATAATATTATTGAAATACGAAAAAAATAACCTTCGAAACATTCTTAATAGTTCCACTTGTTTCGTTTTACAATATCGAGACATTATTCTCCGTTGAAAAGTAGGTACTTTTATTTATTCTTTAGTGTTTCCGGTATCTGAGACAGTACAGCCAAACGAGCTCTTGCCGTAGCTCTATCTATATTATCTGCTGCTATCATCCTTTGCTTCCGCTATGCATGTCCTGCCCATATCAACCCGTTCTTTGTGATATCCCGTATCATATCCGGCCTTTGAAAGAGTTCAAATGCAGTTCACAATGTTGTTACTAAAGTCCTAACAATATAATAAAGAGCTGATAATGCAGACAGGTGTGCTACTATTGTAGGTGGGAAGTTGAAAAGTTAGGAATTATACATAGTAATTCAATTTATACCTGTACAATATGAATAAGCATTTCTAATGAAAAAATGATGGTAAGTTTGTACAAACATATTTCGTAATACCACGATTTGTACGATATTCTTAAAAATTTGAAATTTTTGTTATTAGAAATAAACAATTTATACAGAAGTGCACAATAATTTAATATGTTATACATTCAATTAAAAATATATACAAGACAAATGAAGGTGTTCAGTAAGCATTTATCCATTAATGACGCAAATGATCACACAGCTGTTGAAGCTTTATTATACTTTTTTTATTTATGGCATAAATCTATCAAAAATAGCTTAATCTATTTTTAAATTGTACCAAATCTAAAAATATCAACTATATGTTTTTTGTCTAAATTTCAAGTCTACGAATAGTTCTAACTAAATAATATAAAAAAAAAACAAAATTAAAAATAATAAAAAAATTATTTTCATAAGTTGCCCCGTTACTCTCTATGTATTTGTCGGTTTTGCTCAATTATTAATAAAATTAAACAAAGAAAAAAATTAAAAATTCTTTCTTACTCACTAACAAGATTAAAAATTCAACAACAAATTAATTTTGTTGTTTTTCTGTTGAAGCAATATTGCTAGTAGAAAACATCATATACATACAAATTTAATAATGAAATCAGTAACTCCGCTGCGCACCATAAATATTTACCGTTTACCTTTAATTTTCTTTAGAGGTTTTCCCAATTATTTTGAAATTCCCTTCGAAAATCAAACAATAACCTCCTCAATGCACCAGCCAGAAAAAATTTCCTTTCAGACAAGTTGTTACATTTGATGAAGGAGCAGGATTTCTGATAAGAAAATTGTTTTTAGGCAAAAAAAAAAAATTAATCTTACGTTTCAAATATAAAGTGATTAAATGTAACGTTTACTTAGGTTTATGGTTTTAGTCACGTAATAATATTTCCCATCATTATATACGGGGATAATATTATCATATATTATAGACTATAGTAAATAAATAATAGAATAAGATGTGATATTTTTGATCGGTGG